GGCTTAAGGCTGACTTTGGTCTGCCTGCTGATCCTGGCAAAGCATGCCTACTTTGTCCTGGAACAGCCCAGCGCTTCCATTCTTGCTCGACATCCGCGTTGGGAATGGTTCTGCAATAGGGTCTGCTATGTTTTTGGGCTAATCATGAGAAATCCTGTTCATAGCTAGCTATAGAGAGTGACCATCTGAATTGTTTCAGGGGCTGTGGTGTAATCCGTTGGTTATGGACACTGCCTAGGTATATGTACAGCGATTTTGGATGATGCTTCATGGGTCTCCAACAAGCAAGCCTACAATTGTGTTTTCCAATGGATCTTGGATCCAGGGGCTGGACCTGGGGCCTTTGAAGAAAAGCGTTCGTGAATCTTGCACCACACTTCAGCCAGTCCGTCAGGGTCCCAAGTATCTTGAGTCATTGGGAATTGACACCATGTGATTTCCAGTTTTCTTTTGAGTTCATCCCTAAGGTAAATATCAAAGCAAGGATGGTGCCAAGAAGTTTGTGGGCACATCCGACCTCAAAAAAACGGCGTCCAAACCCCAGTTGATCCGACTTCTCCCCAAATCACCTGGCCCTGCTTGCCTTGCCAGGTGCTACCCGGAAGGGTTTGCTCGTCGTCTCAAGGCCTTGTGGGAAGGCCGCAGGGGTATCCCAGGCCACTTGAGGCACCGTGGTCATGTGAACCCTGCTCTGTCTGATCGAGAAGTCTTTGAGAGGGCTCCACTTGGTGACCCCTGGGTGGATGCGGGTATGCAACACGTTTGGAAGTACCTTTGGAAGTGCAAGCATGTAGACATTCCAGATAGCTGGATCCAAGCAATGAGGGACTTTGACAAAGAGCTCACACGAGTGGTTCCTAGATTGAGCTAGCTTTAACTTTTGTTTTTTCAGTTCCATGGTCACCATGTAAAATATAATGATATTGTACCACCCTGTGCCCAGGTTTGTGTTCCTGAACACGACCGCCTGGAGTACAACAAGCAGCTGCAATAGTTGTGGGACGTCTCGCGCGCTTTTGTAGAAATTAGGCTACGAGTGCTTAGAGTGCAGAACAGCTCGTACGAAAATTCATGCAAAAAAGCCGAAAATCCGCGCAAAAAACCGCAAAAAGCCGAAAATTCAGAAAGTGTATCAATTCGATTTTGTACATGTTGATTGCTCGGACTCTTTTTGGATTTTCTTCTGCAGGAACCGTGTGTGAGTCAAGCAAATGTCTAGGTCAGGAATACTCGGCTCCTGTGATACCCTAGTGAAAGGCTGTGCCATGACATGCCCACCTGGAAAACTGGACAAAGCAGCTTTGGAAAAGCAACTCACTGATTCTTGACATAACCTTTTTTTTGAGATTGAATTGATGTTCTCCCTTCACCAGTCACGCCCACCAAATCTCTGCCCAGGAATCCCGAACCAAGATTGCTGCCATACAGCAGCGCTTGGCCAAGTCGAAGCCAGTCGAGGCCAGTCAGGCCTCACAAATTCCAGGCATGGTGAGTGGTGGCTGGGTTATGCTGGATCAGGATTGGTGAATGAAAGCTATTTTGCATATATATTTTATGTACATGTGATGTGGCCTGGGAGGTGCTCCTACAATGGCTACAGCATCAGGGGCTTTTGTGGCTGGCAATGCGGTTGTATCTATCGCAGGGGGCCCACCAAAGGTGCATGAAGTACACGACTTAGATGATTCCAGTGCTGTTGACAGTGATCTTTTGGTTGAGAGTGCTTGGAGGATTGACCAGAAGGCCCTTGAGAGACAGGCGAAAGAAATGCCGACGTTGGAACCTGCAGCCCCTGACACCCCCAAAGATTCGGAACCAAAGCCTGCAGCCCCTGAGGCTCCTTCCCAAATACCAGAACCTGTGCCTTG